ATATATATATATGTAGTAGATAAATATATATATATATGTAGTAGATAAATAACACAGATATACATACCTTATTGAAACTACTTCTTTATTTAAAGATTTGAAACAATTTGTTTCTATCTGATACTTAATAAGAAGGCAGACTCTCACATACTATTAATATGGAAGATCAAACAGTTGGATCGTCAGTAACAAATTTAAAATATCTTATACAAATTAATTGAAATGCATTTCATACATTGATAATTGATAAAATAATTCTTTCATGTTTATAATAAAATCTTCAATAAATTATTGATACAATATATTGAGGCATTGATTTAATGTATGTAAAGTAGTATGTGCAGTCGCTTTAAGTACTAATAAATCAGGATCTAAGTTTAAACTTGAATTTTCAATAGTTTGTGCTAATGCAAGATTATGTTTTTCCACTTTTCTTAATTGCTCCTGACAATTGGCAAACGCGTCTAAAACTTCTAATTTAGCAACTGGAGTTCTAGTAGAATTGGCAGAATGTTCTCTTGGAGGTAAAGGAGGATGACTACTAGCTATTGCTCTGGTATACATTTCTGTAACAGCTCGTAGTTTGTCAACCCATTCTTGACGAGCCCGGGCATCTGTGGCTCGTAATTTTATCATATCACCTAGATTAATAAATAAATGTTATCATGTTTTGGTTACTATATTACTATATTACCTTGTAAACAATATTATATTACTTGATATATTTTAAATACCTGTAGCAGAATTAACAGTGAAGGTATTAGAATCTTCATCGCTCGGTGCAATCACTGCACCAGCTAAATATATTGAACATCGTGGCCGTTGATTTTTTTCAGATTCACTTAAAAAATAATGTAATTCGCCAGTCTCTGGTTTAAGTATAAACCAACGATATTGCCATCCTTTCATGGCATTAGTATATTTATGCAATAAACCCTCATAACGGTGTCTTATTTGAACATTCATCATTTATTATTTCTATTATTTGGAAGCCTCGTATTATTTAAATTGGATAGTTGCTTACAGCAATCTGTCATCTGAACAGATACATTAAGGTAGGTTAGTCAGCTGATTGTAAGAAAGGTTAGGAAAATAAATAGTCA